TATATATATATATATATATAATTATATATCCGATATAATAAAGAACAATTTATAGAAGATGAAAAAAAGAAAAAAAATCAGCCAAATAGAGAACAAATAATCGACAGAGACATAAAGTGACATAATTGTGAGTGATTTGTTTACCACTGCAAATAAATAATATATCTACACATATATCACAAACATATTGTAAAAATATGATGTAACATTGTTATTGCTCTTACGGCCCGCTGCTCTTTTTACGTCACTTCTCGAGATGAATCCGTATTCAGGCGGTGTACCAGGCTGTAAAATATTGTCAATCTTTCCGGAAGTTGTATGCTCCTGATATTTTTGAAAATTAATTTTTTTATCTGTATCTTCTCTGTGGATCTGCGACATCGTCGGAGGACCGGTATCAAATTCCATCGGCGATGCGATATATGTCGGTCTAATTGGTGCGCTCAAAGATCTCGGACTCCTTCCTGTGGGAGGTTGAACTCTTCGATAGTATGGTTCCTCCGTGTCGCTATCCGTTGGAGCCCATTTTGGTCGAATTCTGCTTGAATCTACATCGCTCTCGTAATCAGATTCTCGAAATTGTCCTTGCACAAATTTTTTCGGTTTAGGCACATAGTAATTAACCCTTTGCTGTTTCTGAGCAGATGTAGCATTAGTGTCGCCGAACTTAATGACGCGGCTTGTTTGCTCAACAGTAACAATTCTTCTAGCATTCTCCGACGACTCGTCCATCCTCATAGTTTTTTTCGTCTCTGTGCCCATCGCGTTGATAAATGGCATGCTTGTATGTGCCTCGTAAAATTGTTCCTGAGGTGATGCATACGCGATTTCCGGTGGAGAGCCAGGTAGGAGAACAGTTTTTAGTTTGGTTGGTACGACTACTGTATATTGCTTGTTAGATGAATTTGATTCCATTGATTTTCCTATATGAAAAATTTATCCTTGTGATCTTCTTCAAACCTTTTCTGGTAGCTCAAGAAAAGAGCATAGTAACAAGTATCAAAGGAAGATAAAGTAATAATGGCCGGTTTCAACACGTCCATCAGATCTTATTAAAGTCAAAACTTGAGTTCCGGTCTTAATACGTTTGGAATATTACTTTGATAAATTGAATACCGATGATACAATATCTCTCGGACTTTTCTCGACCTTACGATGATGAAACCGGTTATAACGACATAATGGAAAAGGTATGCTCCATGAAAAATACTTAGACTTATTATGTAAAAATAAGCAGTGAATATTATTAAAAAGATTAAAAAGATAAAACTTAATAACCACGTGCTTCAAAAGAAATCGCATGCAAAGCTAGAGATGAGAGAAATTGTACTAGAATAAAGCTTGTAAAAAAGATTATACATTATACATTATTAGTTAAAAACTAAAATGAAATTAAACATTTATTTATTCAAGATTTAACCTTCAATTATTTTCTATTTCAAATTAATTAAACTAGCATTACACGAGCGCGCTTCGCGCGCGCTATTTAACACTTCTTACTATAATTTGTAATTACACATCAATTTAAATACACACAACTACGCAAGTACCATTCGATTGTGCTAAAATGGTTGCGAGAACTTTAATCTCAAAGCTAGAGTACAGCCATTGTTTATTCACACACAAAAAAATAATTTTAATATTAGTGGAATAGCTAAATCTTATAAGATTTTGTTCTTATACATGGCCTCAAGAGAAATTCTCTGAAATTAAAAGGAAAATATTCTATGCGCAATATTTTAACAGTTAGAATAATTTCGTCTTGCATTTGCAGTACAATTCTTGCTGTTTTTTACATAAATTTTCTCTTGCATTACAAACGCGCGCTTCGCGCGCGCTATATATTTAATATTTTTACTCTACTTGCCATTACGCTATTAGCCTCAATACACACAAATGTTAAAATGCAATGACAGCCCGTTACACGAAGTAAACGCAGTGAGACAACCAATCAGCAAGCAATCGCAGAAAAGCAACAACAATAAACTTTGAGAAATGCGAGTAATCGACTTTGCATGCACTTTTTTTAAATAGAAAATATAATATATATAATAATATTATATATATATATATATATATATATATGTGTGTGTGTGTGTGTACGTATGCGTGTGTGTGTGTGTGTGTATGTGTGTATGTATATATATATATATATCCATAGATTAAATTATTATACAAGTAATATTATATTTTAATTTAAATGCCAATTTTAATAAATAATACCTGAATCGGCAACATCAAATTTCGTGGAGCTAACTGTCTGATATGACGATATTTTGCTATCATAGTCGCTCTCGTAATCGCTCTCGCGGAAGTCACCCTTCATTAATTTTGAAGGACCTGGAGAGATTGGCAAAATTTTTTCCACTGGTGTCAATTTTCTATGTAACTGGTTTAGGGAATGCCCCGTTTCCTGTAAATAACATTTTTTAAAGACTTGTGATTTAATGTATACATTGCAAAAGCAATGTATAGGTACATTACAAAAATCACAAATGGCATACACATTTTACATACATTTTTTTATTAATACAATTCAATAGTTAAAGTCTATTAAAATCTACAAAGTATTTTATGTTCATTTATTAGTCAATTTCTTGCAAGCATAAAAAAATAACATTTGTAATGGCACACGGACACGCATGTCAAATCTCGCGAACCTTCATGGATTCGAATCTGCGCAGACTGCTGCTAGTTGCTGATGCGTAGTTCTTTTCCAATGAGCTACGTTGTTGTTGAACAGCTTTGGAAGGCGCTTGTGCACCACAAATAGCTGGAGAGACGAAGGAAGATTCTTCTTTTTGCAAATAGTCACTTTCGTAACTACGACTTTCAAAAGACTTTATTCTATTCTCAGTGCTTATACGGCTCTCAGTATGAACCGTTGTTGATGAGGTACCGTCCCGTTTTCCAAGACATTTTTGCGTAGCCATGAATGAAGCCTTTTGCTGGAATGGCTCATCAGTATCCGCCATATATCCGCTTTCTTGCTGAAAAACTTTTACTTTGAACTTTGGAGATTCCGGTTTTTTGACAGGAGATTTTGGCGCGGAACTCTTCGTACTCGGCTGTATATAAATTGGAGGAGAACCGGCTTTCAAAGGAATCGAATTTTGCTGTTGTTGCTGCTTGAGTTGTTCTCTTTCGTGTCGTTTAAATGTTATTTTTCTCGCTGCTTTTTCGGAAGATTCTGTGGTAACGAGTGATTTAGATGGTCCTGTAAATTGTGCAGGAGTCTCAAATTTAGAAGGTGGAAGTGGCTCAGGTTCGGTGGACCTTGGTCTTAGCGGCTGTTTCGGAATAGGAGCTTTGACTCTTCGATAATGTGGTTCGTCGTTATCGCTCTCGTAAGGTCTCCATTTTGCTTTTGGACGACTATCAAAATCGGACTCGTAATCACTTTCATGGCTAAAGGAACTCTTAATAAATTTTGATGGAACTACAGGTGTCGAGAATTTGACAGGTGTTTTGGCTGGTACAAGCGGCGGAGTAATATGTACATCCTTCGGTGGAAGTACGGGTGGTTCTTCTATTCTCTTTTGTACTCTCGTAGTATGTTTTAATGCAATTTCGTCTTTTGCAACAGATGGTGAAATATATCCAATTTCCGGAGGAGATCCTGGCTTGAAAGCGATCGAATCTATTCCTGCATCCTCCATAAGACGATATGATGTTGCAAGCGGTTTCGTAGCTGCAGGGTCGACTTTCTTTACCAAGCTAGGCGCCTTCAATTCTTTGTCTTCTGCCCAGCAACGTTTCGAGCTGAAATCTTCAAATTTCTGTGTCGTTTTAGTTTTTTCCACGTTGCTTTCAGTAATATATTTTTCGAACAAAGATTTCTCTTGTGCAGTATTTACAGTATGGTCGACTTTAATCGTCTCGGCATTGTAGATTATCGGACCTAGTTTCGACGTAGACGGAGATGCTTCCACTATCTTTTCTGTGAACTTTTCTTTGCTGCACCACGAATATTTTTCTACATTAGCAGACGATTCGGTACTAATTCTCTTTATTTCTCCTTGCGGTGTTTCTTCAATTTTCTGCTGAAATTCTCTCGAAGAGCTCTTGTATTCATCAACAGGAACATTCCACTCGTATTTCTGATTAGATTTGGTTTGCAGTGGCCATGATTTTCTATTTAAATCTGCGCATTTTTTCGCCCAAGATTTTTCCATCACCAGTGCATTTGCAGATGGTTTTGGCGATGTAGATCTCAAAATCTCTTGTTGACTAGAGGCAGCCGAATGACATCTGTATTCTGATAGATCCGTTGACACATGCGATTTGGTTTCCACATCTGATGATGATGACCACGGTCTGATAGGAGAAGTACTTCTCAAAATAGATGTTGAAACGTATTTCCATGGTTCGGCCATCTTTTCCTCTTTAAAATATTTGCTTTCCTTCTTCTCAAACGCATCTTTCTTTCGTATGCCTGACTCTTGAAATGTTTCTTTTTTCTCGAGTTCAAATGGCGGTGGTATCGTAAACGCGAGAATAGGTTCAGCAGCTTTGATAGGTTCTGATACTTTTTGAGTAGACGAAGGAAAGATCTTTACACCTCCGACTGGAGCATCTATCGGAGATAGTGTCTTATCGAAAGATTCTTGAAGCTGTTTTGCCTTGACAAATACATCAGGTCGCTTTTTTTTCTCTTCCGGTTTTGGCATATAGCATATTTCGGGAGGTGGTTCCGGCACAAGATCAAAACTTTTCGTTTCAGAATTCTTCGTCTGAATTTGCGAAATAGACGAATCGAAAGATATTCTTTCTTCTACAGTTTTTTTTACCTCCATTGGGGACAACTTAGGACTCTCGTACGGAAATTCAAATAGTTTATTTTCCACTCCGCGAGGCAGCGATCCCTGTTCTAATTTAGTAAAAACATTCTGAGCGGCCTTTTTTGTTGTTTGAAACTCTGACGGTCTTGCTTCCGGTTTCTTTGCTTCTTGAAAAATAGTTACTTGCTCATAATTCTTTGTCAATTCTCCAACTTTAGCTTCTTGAACTTGTCCATCTTCTGTCAACTTAATCATTTCCTTTGGCCCTTTTGGTTGTATCTCACTTTCTTTCGTAATGGACTCGAAAAAACTCAGTGCATCTTTTTTTGCAATCGTAGAAGTCTCTACGTTTTCATTGTCGATTGTTAATATTTCCTCCGTTTTTATTAACGGCTTCGTAACATTTTCTTTGTCACGGTCGACTTTCTTCATCGTTTGCTCGGTTTGTGGTTTGGATTCCACAATGGATGGAGTTTTATGCTCTAGTTTCATATGAAACTTCTGTTCTGACTTTGTTTCGGTTTCATGGGATTCGATTATAGACGAAATCGTTTCCGATTTACTAGTTTTTATTTCTGGTCCGTCGGTCTTTTGCACGGTGTCAAGTGTAGTTGATGTCGTAATAGGCTTGGACAATTCGACTAACTCGATCGTTGTCGTTGGTATTTGTTTGCTCGTTAAAATGCCTGATGATACATCCTCTTTTTTTTCTTCAGACTAAATGCAAGTATTTAATTTTACAAGTGTTTAGAAACAGTAAATATTATTTATTCGAAACATTAATTTTATTCTATTGCTTTATATTATTATTATTAAAGAAATATTATAAAGTTTGTTTATGTCAAAGACAAGTTACCTGAACGACACTTTTATCCTGAATATTTTCATAAATGACAGTTTTATGCATTTCGACCATAGTATCAGGTTTTGGTTCGAAAACCGCGACATCAGCGATACTCTGCGCTTCGCCACCGGCGTTTGTTGCTCGTACCATGTATTTGCCGGCATCTTCTTCTTTCACTAATATATATATATTATAGTAATGAAGAAAGAATTATATACAGAGTAGTGAATAAAAATGAAATAAAAATTTATCAACTATATATGATGAGAATATATAAATAGAAATGTACCTTTATCTATTAACAACGTGTAGCAATTTCCTTGTTGGATAATTTTTAATTTTTGTGATTGTTCATTAATCGGCACATCATTTTTAGACCAACTAACTATTGGTTCAGGAATACCAGTAATTTCTACTTCCATAATAACACGATCTCCTTTCCTTGCTACTTGAGCTTTCAAACGTTTGCCGAAAACGGGAGGAAATATTGTTTCTAAAATTATACATAAGTAAATAAATTCCTACACATTATATAAACTTTATGTATGTACAATTTTCCTCGATTTATACGCGCGCGCGCGCGCGCGCGCGCGCACACACACACACACACACATTATACATACATATTAATATATGCCACTTACTTTTAACGACCAAGTCAGCTGTGCTACTAGCTCTTCCAACATCATTGCTCACTGTACAGGTATAACGTCCAGCATCTTTCACATTGACATTCTTTAGTTCCAATTTTACGTGATTATGAACATAACTAGTTTTTATGTTATCCTTCAAGTCTTGACCGTTTTTTGACCACAGAATTGTTGGTTGTGGAAAACCTGAAATAAATTAAAAACAATCGAAATAATAAAAAAGAATACCACAGATATATATATATATATATATATAT